TATATATATATATATATATATATATATATAATAGATATAAATAAGTATAAATAAGGGTAATTAGAGGGAAAAGAGAGCATACCCTTTCCCTAATAGCATCAACTTCATGTTCTTTAGCACCAAATATAAACATAGTATCATCTCCTCCTTCTTCTCTTATCTCTATATTTGCACCATCAAGAGTACCAAGAATAATTCCTCCATTCATAACAAATTTCATGTTAGATGTTCCTGATGCTTCTGTTCCTGCTGTAGATATATGCTGAGATATATCACTTGCAGGTATTATTACTTGTGCATTAGATACATTATAATTCGGTAGGAATACTACCTGTACATACATATATATTTATTTATTTATTTATTATTACTTTATTATTCTCTTATTCTATTTAATTACCTTTTTATTGCTATATTTTATACGTATTATTCATAGATATATACATATATATGTTGACAGGGAATACGCAACAACAATAGGCATAAAATACATATATATATATATACATATATTATATATTATTAATTTATTATTTATAGTGTATAATAATTAATATTAATTAATTAATTAATTAATTAATTATAATTATAAATAATAATAACATACCTTAAGATATTTATCTACATCTGGGTCATTATTAACAACTTGTGCAACACTATTAGCTAATTTAATAATAGTTTTTGCTGTATAATATCCAGGTGCAGCCTTTCCTCCAATAAGAGAAGCTCTTGGTTGTATATTAACTCTTTCTGCTGGTTGCATGCGTTTAATAGTTAGATATCTATGTATAATATAAATAATATTCAATAATTGACGCTTATATTCATGTATACGCTTAACCTGTATATCAAATAACATATTATCTACATCTAATTGTATATTACATCTTTGTTGTACCCATAATGCTAATCTTTTCTTGTTTTCTTTCTTAACTGCTGCCCATTCAGATAAGAAAGAAGGATTATCTATATGATTCATTAATCCATTAATCATATCCAACTCCTTTAGCCATGAATCAGATCCTAACCAATTACTAAATAAATTAGCTAACCCTCTATTTGCACAATATATCCATCTTCTTGGTGTTACACCATTTGTTACATTAAGGAATTTATCTTTTATTCCTTTTTTTGTATAAAATTCATCAAATTCAGGGAATAATTTCTTTCTTACTAATTCACTATGTATTATTGCTACACCATTTACATGATTTCCTCCTATTACTGCTAAATTTGCCATTCTTATTCTTTTTTCTTGTCCTTCTTCGTATATAGACATTCTTCCTATCTTTTGCCAATCATCACCAAATACTTGACGAGCTTCATTCAAGAAACGGAAATTTATCTCATTTATTATTAATAAATGTCTATAAATATATATAACACACACAATTAATTTATATATAAATATAAATAAATATATCAATATACAATTTATATATTAACAACACACACATCACACACACACACACACACACACACACAAGTACTAAATACTAAGTAATAGAGGAAACTTGATGAAGGAAAAAGAAGGGCAGGGAGGAGAGAGGAGAGAAATAGAGAGAAATGTATATGCATATGATAAGATATAGGAATAAAAAAGGAAATAAAGGAGAGAAAATACATAAAAATAATAATTAGATGAATATATTGATATCTTACCTTGGTAGTAATTTAGCGATAAGATCAGCGGACCATTTCTCTAATGCCTCTGGTAGTACAGTATGATTAGTATAATTGAAACATTTTCTGGTTAATTCCCATGCAGTATCCCAATCAAGTCCCTCAACATCAAGAAGAATACGCATTAATTCAGGTATAGCAATAGTAGGATGTGTATCATTAAGTTGGCATTGTATCTTATCAGGTAATTGTTTCCAATCTCTACCTGGTGCTTTCTTGAATCTTCTTAATACATCTTGTATAGTTGCACAACAAAAGAAATATTGTTGTTTAAGTCTTAATTCTCTTCCTTCTTGTGTATTATCATTAGGATATAATACAGCAGAAATTGATTCAGCATTCTGCCTCTCTCTTACGGACTCTAAGTACCGTCCGACGTCAAATAAATGGAAATCGAATTCTTTACTCGGACACGCTTTCCATAGTCGTAAATTAATTGTATTATAAGTATCGAATCCTGGTATAGGTGTATCGTAAGCCATAGCTTGTACTATTTCCCCTCCTACCCATTTACTACGCATGCGTCCATTCTGTGGATCTCTATACTCTTTTACACTACCATATATACGTACTGCGTACGTACAGTCTGGTCTCTCTATTTCCCATGGATTTGCTAATGTTAGCCAATAGTCTGGATACTCTACTTGACGACCATTTACTATTTTCTGCTCAAATATACCATATGTGTATCTAATGCCATAACCCCAACATGGCAAATTTAATGTCGCCATCGAATCCAAGAAACATGCAGCCAAACGACCTACACACAACATTATACGTATACATATAAA